TATTCACCAGATATTGCTCCTTCCGACTACCACTTGTTCCGGTCGATGACTCATGGCCTGGCCGAGCAGCACTTCACTTCTTACGAAGAAGCCAAAAATTGGGTCGATTCTTGGATCGCCTCAAAAGGCAAGACATTTTTTCAACGCGGAATCCGTATGCTGCCTGAAAGATGGGGAAAAGTCGTAGCTAACGATGGACAATACTTTGAATAAAATACATTGTACCAATTTCTCTGAATAAAGCTTCAATATTACAAAAAAAAACCTCAAAACTTATTTGTACCCCCAATAATTTCTTCTTGAAGTTCTCCCATTTTGAAAACTCAATACTACAGCTAAAATGCCCCAATTATTCTCGAATTGCAATTTTTCCATCAATTCCTTTAGACAAATCCACAATAAACTTCATTACATTTTCCCAAGGCTTTAAAAAATTGTCTAGTAACAGGTTACCACTAGGACTCCTTGGGCTGTATTGTGCTGAAATTTATTTAAATCAGGTCTTCCAAGTCGCATACAACCGTCTTGATGTAAATTCCGCTCTTATTGCACAGAATATTTTGGTTTTGTTTCATTAAATCCATATTTGTGATAACATGAGTCAATTCCAATGTGTGATATGACATGGGTCTGCTCCAATTAACAGGAAAACCTCAAACATGTGAAGAGTGGGAACGACTTCAAACACCTGGAAAAGAAACTGGAAGAAGTCATCCAAAAGAAGCTGCTCCTGCAATCTTTCATCAGGTATCTATCTCGGCAGTTCAAATGCGTATCAATATATTATAACTCTTTTTCTATCATGCAATTATGTCCAATTTCTTTTAAAGACATGCTGGAGTGAGTGAGGAGGAGGTGATGGCGACACACCGTGATCATGTCACAGATGAAGCCTTTCGGCCGTTCATGACCCTGAAGGATCCTGAGAAATGTGGTGAATGGAAGGCCCACATTCGTTTATGCATTCATGGAGAAGTCACTGTTGATCACATCGAGTAGAAGGTGCTGAAGTAAAGATTCTCGTGGGAGACCCATTGAAAGTTCCTGACGGCTCATTCCAGGAACCTCTTGTTGGAGCAGTCTTTTTTGCTCAGGCGAGAATCTCCTCCTCTTGACAAATGAACGTGTTCAAGGAAGGGTAACTTTGGATTATACCTGGATTTTTTCCTAATGGACTGCAGAAGAAGCTGAAATATGTCTTTTGGGACTCCATGCTCACCAACGCAGACTTCAAGGGGAGAGGTACATACCAACTGCTTTTTCTAGTCGACAACGAATCAGAAGCTGGCCACATAAAAGAGAGGATGAAGAGTATGGACGTCAAGACTGATACTGCAATTCTTCTCGGGAGAGCAAGTGAAGGTAACCCCATCATAAATTTAGTGGAAGTCATTATTTGAAGTTCAGATTAACACAGTCTTGGTTGTGGAAGCGATTCTTGCAAGCGTTCTGCAAAATCTTGTGCTGAAAATTGATAACTTAAACGTTTCCTGAATTCCAGGTGAGCTTTTTCCCAGGACACATACCCTGGCAGTCATTGGCAGCAAGCGTTGTATATCCCTGAGTAATTCTGTTGTGACCATGAAGGAGTTCTTGCAAGCCATTGCTGGAAATTCTCAGGGTTGGATCTTAACCAGCGCTCGCTGGATTCGTGAGTCCCACTATGCACAATGATTAGCAAATGTTCCCTGTATTATACATGATGGTACTAATATGCCCCATACTTCGTTAACAAACCAGGAGAAGAGGATCTGCCTGCCCAGTTGAAATTATTGTCGCTGGTCGATTTGGAGTTTGGGTTGGATCCAAGGAGAAGCAGCCAGGACATTGATCAGGAGCAGGTCAGAGACCAGGAACAAGAACCCGAGAGAGAGTAGGTTTTTAAATGTTAATCTCAACATGAATGTGCCAGTTAAAATTCACTAAAACATGATTTCTAATATTCCTGTGTGGACAGTTTGGGGGACAACACATTAGGAGCCTTTGATGAAGATATGATTGAAACTCTAAGTCCAGATTTGCTTCAGACTCTAGGTATGTTTTACATAACTTGGTAATTCCAGATTCCTTAGGAAGAGTAAATCAAAGAATGACCGCATAGAGAAGCAGCCAGGACATTGATCAGGAGTAGGTCAGAGACCAGGAACAAGAACCCGAGACAGAGTAAGTTTTTAAATGTTAATCTCAACATGAATGTGCCAGTTAAAATTCACTAAAACATGATTTCTAATATTCCTGTGTGGACAGTTTGGGGGACAACACATTAGGATCCTTTGATGAAGATATCATTGAAACTCTAAGTCCAGATTTGCTTCAGACTCTATGTATGTTTTACATAACTTGGTAATTCGAGAAAGTAGAGTAAATCAAAGAATGACCGCATCCCAATTACATTGCTTGCCAAGAGACTGCCTTAGCATTTAGATTCTTAGAATCAAGCAACAGGTATGACGAGAATAATAAGTGATTCCTTTGTGTATTTCTTGTGGTTTCTATAGGCCAGTGACCTCCTAGGACATGCAAGAGTGGCTTTGCAGGAGGCCTTACTCATGGAAAAATTTATGGAAGTTTAATTATTTTTATAAAATTTTTCATGCATTTATGGGTTAGAAGGATATTCTATCAAAGCGCTCTTCTCCTTAGGTGATCCAGTGACACCTCTCTAGCCGAGCAAGTATTCCGATTATGAACGTGCTGCTGATCCTACCGTTAGGACTCCGTGCTCCTCACAGTGAGAAGGCTCCTAAAGAGGGATTCTACTTGTATAATTCTTCAGGAGATGGGCGGGACGCAGGAGACTCTTGGTCAGTTTTTATCAATCCCACATGCCTCACTTAGCTGAAGTATTGGTATATGATCATGACGATGCATTCTTACAAACCAGGAACGTGGCCTTTTTGAGAAATCAGGAGAGGACGCACATCTATGGCTCCAGGTTTTGGATGGATGCACATAATCCTGCTGTCATCATTTCATTCGAAAAGCTTCTTGCTGGTCAGTTCTGTGGGATGCATTATGGATATCTCGGTGAAAGACTGGGAGCCAACTAGAGAAATGATTTATAATCCAAACCTCTTCTTCCTCCAACAGACTTTAGTTCCATGGAGGCAGAATTGGAACATGCAGAATCTCTTTCCTGGAAGACGTGAATGGTAGTGGACAGCTTGTATCACTTCTCAGCTGACAGTATCAAGTATTCCTCGCAAAAACCATTAAATCCAATAAAGCTTCCTCGCGAGTCGGCTCATTTACGTACTGAACGAGAAGAGCCTCCTGAACCGCAACAAGAAATTCCCTATCCCTTTCGCACTCCCCTTGCGGCATCGACCAATCTATTTTTGGCATTATGCTAAAAACTCTATTCTCCGAATGTACCAAATATTAGAAGTTTCAGGAAGTGAGATATGGAGATTTGACCACGTCCTATCTTCTTACAGATACAGAAGTGCATGGAGCTGCACAGGGCTGCAGAGAACTCAGCAATAATTAGAAGCGCCTCTAAGAACCTCGTCAAGGTTAATATTTGTATTACAAGGCTTTGCAATAGACACTGGATCATTCTTTGCTCCATCGTCAATAGCGATGCCCTTGAAGTGATCATGTTTCCCATGGTTTCTTGCTGATCTATTCCTGAATCACATCTTCTCATAAGAGTACAAGTAAAATAGAAATATATCAATAGAAAATCAATGACAGCAGTTATTTATCATTCCAGGGCAGTAGGACTTATCAAGTCCTCAACAATTTGCTCAACCTGGGAGAAGAAGCTGTTAAGGAATTTCTGTCGGTGGCGAGAGAAATTGAGAAGGAGGAGCCAGGACGAGTTGCTAAAAAGCTATATTGTCTGCGGAAGCTTGGGAATCCCCATATCAAAAGAAGCGACTTCTTGGTGAGGTTCATTTATTTATTCTTTTAAATGACCCAATTTGATGTGAAATATTTATCCACGTTACAATTTCTTCTTGAAGTTCTCCCTTTTTGAAAACTCAATACTACAGCTAAAATGCCCTATTTATTCTCGAATTGCAAAATTTTCCAGCAATTCCTTTAGACAAATGCACAATAAACTTTATTACATTTTCTTCAAGGATTAAAAAAAATAGTCTAGTAACAGGTTACCACTAGGACTCCTTGGGCTGTATTGTGCTGAAATTTATTTAAATCAGGTCTTTCAAGTCGCATACAACCGTCTTGATGTTAATTCCGCTCTGATTGCACATAATACGAGTATTTTGGTTTTGTTTTATTAAATCCATGTTTGTGTAATGAGTCAATTCCAATGTGTGATATGACATGGGTCTGTTCCAATTAACAAGAAAACCTCAAACATGTGAAGAGTGGGAGCGACTTCAAACACCTGGAAAAGAAACTGGAAGAAGTCATCCATGAGAAGCAGCTCTAAATCAACGAATCAGAAGCTGGCCACATGAAAGAGAGCATGAACAGTTTGGACGTCAAGACTGCTACTGCAATTCTTCTCGGGAGAGCAAGTGAAGGTAACCCCATCGGAAATTTAGTGGAAGTCATTATTTGAAGTTCAGATTAACACAGTCTTGGTTGTGGAAGCGATTCATGCAACCGTTCTGCAAATTCTTGTGCTGAAAATTGATAACTTAAACGTTTCCTGAATTCCAGGTGAGCTTTTTCCCAGGACACATACCCCGGCAGTCATTGGCAGCAAGCGTTGTATATCCCTGAGTAATTCTGTTGTGACCATGAAAAGACTGCAGAAGAAGCTGAAAGATGTATTTTGGGACTCCATGCTCACCAACGCAGACTTCAAGGGGAGAGGTACATACCAACTGCTTTTCTAGTCGACAACGAATCAGAAGCTGGCCACATAAAAGAGAGGATGAAGAGTATGGACGTCAAGACTGTTACTGCAATTCTTCTCGGGAGTGCAAGTGAAGGTAACCCTATCGGAAATTTAGTGGAAGTCATTATTTGAAGTTCAGATTAACACAGTCTTGGTTGTGGAAGCGATTCATGCAAGCGTTCTGCAAAATATTGTGCTGAAAGTGGATAACTTAAGCGTTTCCTGAATTCTAGGTGAGCTTTATCTCAGGACTCATACCCTGGCAGTCATTGACAGCAAGCGTTGTATATCCCTGAGTAATTCTGATGTGACCATAAAGGAGTTCTTGCAAGCCATTGCTGGAAATTCTCAGGGTTGGATCTTAACCAGCGTCCGCTGGATTCGTGAGTCTCACTATGCACAATGATTAGCAAATGTTCCCTGTATTATACATGATGGTACTAATATGCCCAATTCTTCGTTAACAAACCAGGAGAAGAGGACCTGCCTGCCCAGTTGAAATTATTGTCGCTGGTCAATTTGGAGTGTGGGTTGGATCCAAGGAGAAGCAGCCAGGACATTGATCAGGAGTAGGTCAGAGACCAGGAACAAGAACCCGAGACAGAGTAAGTTTTTAAATGTTAATCTCAACATGAATGTGCCAGTTAAAATTCACTAAAACATGATTTCAAATATTCCTGTGTGGACAGTTTGGGGGACAACACATTAGGAGCCTTTAATGAAGATATGATTGAAACTCTAAGTCCAGATTTGCTTCAGACTCTATGTATGTTTTACATAACTTGGTAATTCGAGATTCCTTAGGAAGAGTAAATCAAAGAATGACCGCATGTCAATTACATTGCTTGCCAAGAGACTGCCTTAGCATTTAGATTCTTAGAATCAAGCAACAGGTATGACGAGAATAATAAGTGCTTCCTTTGTGTATTTCCTGTGTTTCCATAGGCCAGTGACATCCTAGGACATGCAAGAGTGGCTTTGCAGGAGGCCTTACTCATGGAAAAATTATGGAAGTTTAATTATTTTTATAAAATGTTTCATGCATTTATGGGTTAGAAGGATATTCTGTCATAGCGCTCTTCTCCTTAGGTGATCCAGTGACACCTCTCTAGCCGAGCAAGTATTCCGATTATGAACGTGCTGCTGATCCAACCGTTAGGACTCCTTGCTCCTCACAGTGAGAAGGCTCCTAAAGAGGGATTCTACTTGTATAATTCTTCAGGAGATGGGCGGGACGCAGGAGACTCTTGGTCAGTTTTTATCAATCCCACATGCCTCACTTAGCTCAAGTATTGGTATATGATCATGGCGATGCATTGTTACAAACCAGGAACGTGGCCTTTTTGAGAAATCAGGAGAGGACGCACATCCATGGCTCCAGGTTTTGGATGGATGCACATAATCCTGCTGTCATCATTTCATTCGAAAAGGTTCTTGCTGGTCAGTTCTGTGGGATGCATTATGGATATCTCGATGAAAGACTGGGAGCCAACTAGAGAAATGATTTATAATCAAAACCTCTTCTTCCTCCAACAGACTTTAGTTCCATGGAGGCAGAATTGGAACATGCAGAATCTCTTTCCTGGAAGACGTGAATGGTAGTGGACAGCTTGTATCACTTCTCAGCTGACAGTATCAAGTACTTCTGTTGCCTTTGAACCTATTTCCAGCGAATACTATGTGCATTTGCGAATGTGACCTGTGTATATTTGTCTCATTGAATTGTGTAATTTTTAATTTGCCTTGCCTTGATATTCATTTGTAAGCTCACTTCTACATTTAAGATGCTTGCAATTTTTGTTGGATTGAGTATTTCATTATGTTCTTATGTTATGACTGCTCAACAAAAGAATGAAGTTTTTCTGCTTTCCCATGTATTGACTACATGTCTTTAAAAAATAATTAAAATATTATTTCACGTAATTGATGTACGACACACCTCATATGTACACCCATGAACTTCTGGGAATGCTAATTCTGGAAGAAAAAAAATATCTCTCTCTTGCCGCTCATTCTTATTCGTCAAGGTAAAATTATTCTGAGGAGAAATATAACTTCATGTACTGGAAAGAAGGAGACAGATTGTCTGAAATTAACCAGGATCGAAGCTGGACCAAAGGGAATCCCTGCCATTTGGCACCCCTTCCCTTCAGCCAAGAGCAAGCCCATATTTGTCAGACCGAAGGGAATTTCTGCCACATGGCACCCATTCCCTTTGGTACAGGGCATGCGCGGTTTCTCTAGGATAAAATATTTTTACCGTATGGAATATTTCCCCTTCAGACCTTCTCAATGCATGGAACCCTACATGAACGCAATAAATTAATTAATGATCATCAATCTCTACTTAAGAATCCCTAAGAATCACCATAATATTGTTTTTGGGACAATGAGCCACGTTTTCCCCAATTTGAGAAGAGTTCTAATGTGATTCTTCATAATGGCCAATAAATATTTTAAGAAGGTTGTTTGTCAGCATCCAACTGCAAAAGTATATCAAAGGGTATGCATAACCAGATAGCATGAAAACGCAAGACATGTGGCTTCACACTATGAGATTCCCTTGAAACACGATGGACTCGACAATTGCATATCCTGATGTACTTCAATTGTCTCCATGCCTAAGGAGGTCTAGGGAATAAATTATTGAGATCGGAAAAATTTCCTCTCGGACAGGAGGAGTGCTTTACCAATTTACCGAATGTCTCCATATATTTTGAGCAAACCAAGAAAATCAATGCCATTATGCACGTCAGTACGCAATATGATGACCAATATGTATACATATGTGGAAATGTGGCTAATTGAAAAATCAATTCCTTAATTGAAACTTGTTTTTCACCTTTGCTTCATTGACTGCAGCGGTGGCTTCGTTCCAGGATTTCATTGCCAGTTTTACTTTCGAATTGATCGTCATTCGATAGTCATTCTCCGGATCCTTTGCATCCTTCAATATCGCCGCTTCGCACGCCTTCCCTGCTGCCAGCCACTTTTCCGAAGCAGACATCCAGGCCTTCTCTGAACCTGCGTGTGACTCTGCCCTTTTCAAATCATCTTCATATTTTGTCTCCTCCGCCTGCTTCCGCCAATATCCCGCAGAACATGCTTCTCGTTCAGCTTCTCCTTCTGCTTCCCTCCTGTAGCCCCATGTGGTCGTGACGCAGTCAGTTAAATTTTTCAAAAGTATTTCAAGTTTCTTTGCAAGATCGGACTCGGAAGCATTCGAATACAGCTCCGATTTTTCGTCCAGTATGCCTTCCGTCTTAGTGTTTTCTTCGGACGATTCTGCTGTTGTTCCAAACTCCGACGTGTTCAATTCTGGATCCTTGCCATCCCAACCCACAGATGAGGGGTGCACACCATTCCAGTCAACTGGATAGGATTCTGTACCTTCAGATGCTGACTTGATTGCATCATCTTCTTTGCTGGGGCAGCTAGCTGTGTCTTTGGATCCTTCGTTCCGTGAACACAACGAAATTCTTCCTATGAATATTCCGCAAGAAAATAAAATGGCGGTAATTATGACTATGAACATAATTTGTACTCTAGTCAAACTTGTTAGTTCGGATATTGCCCATTGACAATTTTTTCCATTTTCAGTATGTTCATGGAGATTGTTAGAGGCATCTTCACTGCTCTCGTTTGCGTTGACCGCCTTTGAAGATGTTTCATTGTTTTCCTCCCGTGTAAGCGGTCCCATTTCTAGTAAATAGAATGGGAAAATAACATTCCACTTGAGAAATTTTGACTGTAGTAATGGATATCGATTGATATATAGAAAATCACTGTAACTTTTGCCTTCAATATTGGTTTAGTTTTGCAAGTAATACAATTTAAGTATAACCAATTGGAGGGACAAGAACACGGTCAGCGGTTTAATAACCAAACGTCCGTATTATTTGGTAAATTTGTAAGCGAGCTCACTTGTAATCTATAACCGAAATTCAATTTTGTAAATGAAAGAAGTCAAGGGATTGAAAATAATATTTGAATGGTAATTAGAGAGTCACATCCATTGCTTTCTAATACATGTATATCTAAACGATAATGAATTTTGAGCGAAAGGAACAAGTTCTAATCATGTTCTGAATATCATGAGACGATGGAAGTTCGAAAATGGCTGTGTGGTGCATAGATAGGTATATATTCCATTTTCGGAGTAGTTCTCCGCTGAAAACTTCTCTGGAGGGTGTATTTTCTCTTCACGTTACGTCTCCAGCGAGACGGGCGAACATTCGGAAAGCTAAACTTCAGTAAAGGGTTAAGGCGTAGACGCATGCCTGTTTGTAGACGATATCGCATTTTCCGCCATACACATATATATGTAGGACATGTAAAATGTTGACAGCTCCATGTTATGCGCATGCCAATCGGCCACCATGCAAATTATGTATGCCCGTTAGCATGAGTCAACGTAGATATTTTCGTGTTGCTTAATATGTAGCCCCCTGAATTCCCTATATTTTCATTGACTTTTCTTAATGGAAGTTTCTTAAGGTGTTCACAACCCAAGACTCATAATTCCAACATGTTTCTATATGCGCAAAGTAGGCCCAGGGACCAAGGAAACGTTTTCAGATCGATTCAATTATTTTCCTGGTTTTCCAACTTCTCAGCATTCAACAACCTGTAAAGTGCTTCAGTGCATCACCTGAACAATATTATCCCATAACTGCAGCCTTCATGGATTTCTCTCTATATACTGAGACTACATTGATGACTTACCCATACTGGGCTGGCATCAATGTACAAGACCATTGGACCATATACATGATCATGCCCTCGGGCATTTGTCCAACGTCTCAGAATGGGTTTCTCGACCAATTGTCCGAATTTCTAGGGCTTGTCCTCGGATATCCGTCCAAAATCCTTGGTCCCGTTTCCAACCAACATTTCACGAACCAGGGTGCAGGAATAAATAGCTGTTTTCCAAAATCTGTCCCTTATAGCCCCATCTGTCTCAAGTTCATGCGTAATTGAAGCCATGTGTTTCATACTTTCAAAAAACTCTCTCCAGCAAGTTCACATATATTTATTTATGCTTACAATTCCAGATCTGACTTCAAATAAATACAACTGATTCAGAAGCAGGGAGGGAAATGAAGTGCCTTGAAACACGTCCGTAATATGTGAAATAGCCATTAGAAATGAAAATAATGACGTCATAACAGGGAGCAGATTTTGGTTCCGCGAAATATTGTCATCAGAGAGCACTTATGTTAATAAAGCAAGTGAAGGAGAAAAGGAAAGGCGGTTCAGAATGGAGTTTCTCTGCGTGTCATTTTTTAATATCGAAGGGAAAGAAACTAACTCCCACTCTCAATCCAACCATTCGAGTTGCTATTTCTGAAAACCTTGCCCAGGAATAAAAAATCCTTCGTGTTATGAAAGACAGACGGGAAACAGGACGTCTGGAAAACATACGTTTTCACAGCACCTGTCCAACGTCTCAGACGTTGGACAGGTGCTGTGAAAGAGAGCACGGCCTGGGAATTCGGTTAATTGGCTGTGAAGCCCGGTCTGGGACGTTGGACAATGACCCCTGGTTGGAATGCGTAACACGATTGTCAATGCCGACCCAAACGTCAACATAATTTCTGTAAAATTGCGTGACTCAAAGCCGGAGTTGCTGATGAATTGACGTGCTTGTCTGAAATACAAGAAATAGCGGATATGGACCAATATGGTTACTGATCAAATGACAAATAAACAATACATTTTCTCTCATTCCGACGGATATGAACGATGACGGATAAAAGCTGTGGCCTTTGACTGAACACAGAATACCACAAAGTTGAAACTGGCCTGCATTTTTCCGTAATGTCTTCCAAATTTAGTCCTAAGCTAGGTAATTTTTTCCGGCATACGTTCACCAATTGAATATGCACCCAAAAACAGCGAAAATAATTTTGAATTGTCCTTGTCTTCCAATTCCTAAAATTGAACTTACGAATCCGAAATGAAACCTGATAAGTTAAGAACTACCTCAGTTGGCAAAGAAGTTTCTTGATAATTCAGTAACAAATAGGAAATATAGTTGAATTCGGTTATAACATCATTGAAGAGGCCAGCGAAAAATCGTCGTTATAACCGAGGTTTACTTCATTGACATTCCGTTTTATTATTTTCAAAATGGATGCTACAAAACGTTACAACTCATTGGCTCATACATCGGCCATGCCGCACTAGTTTCAGTTTCAGGATTGACCCACAAATCGTGATATTCGCAATTCTTTGGACCTTTAACAATTTCATATTTAACAAGGCCTCATGGACGTAATCTCGATAGATCTACGAATTTTCTTGTTTTGTGACATGTTCTCGTAAGCAAGGATGAAGCTGTCACGATTTTCGTAAATTGTGGAAACATGTGAGTAGGTCCATGTTTACGAGCGACGTTATCTTTACTTCGACCACTGTCTATTTATCTAATCACGCACACTATTCTTTCAATCGTCAAGGCTTTACTCATTCGCTTTCCACTGGCCATGTTGCC